ATATTTCCCATTTTATAAATTGGATCCTCCTTAAAATACATTTAAAGTTGCCTATGGGTTGTTAGTCAATTAGCAAAATTCATATTGAGAAAATAGAAAGAAGAATGGGTGAGAGAAAATTTATACAGGAAGAAAGACATGGTTATTATTTTTATATACATATACTGGCTTGAGTTAGACAACGTTTATGCTTGTAAAGGCTCTACATAAATACAGAACATCCTAATAAGCATGAGAATTCTCTGCATAACTTCAGCTTGGAAAACAGAAGTGCACACAACTGATGAGAAACCTGATAAAAGAAAATGCGCCTATGAATCCACAAAGATGAGAATAGTACATCCCGAGAAGGAGGATTGTTTCCAACGATATACCTGATACTGAATAATTTACACGACAATTTCTGAACCGCAGCCCTTAGTCTCGTATTCTATCCCGAATTCTTCCCTGAAGTGGTGCCTATACGTTATGTACGATACACTCTGTATATTAGAATAAACGTCTAGTTCTTATTCAACCGCTTCAAGCAACCAACTGTAACAGCCAAATGGATACCTTTCCGCTTCCAAAGGGTGAATTTACATGCGACGTTATCAACTATTCATAAAAAGCGACCCGATATACTGCGAGAACTTTTCTTGTCAGAGAGGATATCGAACATTGTCAAGACAAGTGTTCCCGTTTCTACCCAACATGTTCGAAAGCTAAAAATCTCTTGATATTGATCGAGCTTTTTCTGAGCTCTGTACTATTCTTGAGAACTGTACCAGCAATAGGAGACGTAGTTGAGCCAGGAGTATAAACAGCAATTGGAGAAGACCTGTTCAGGCTTTTGTGCCATGAAAAAGAAGTATGGCTGTATGTTTATACTCTTTAGAGATTAATATTTCAGTAAAGTTCAACGATAATTCATATGGCAGTAAAATTATTGTTGAATTTTACTGATATGAGAATTATTAATACATTTTACTATCGTGCTATTTACTAGTATAATGTTACTTATGGCGTTAACATTATTATTCAATTTTAATGTAACTTTCATAATAATGCAATTCATAATAATTATATTACTATGAAAATCATTGGTACACTTGATTATATTATAAGAATTGTTATTGGACTTTTCTGTTTTTGCAGAATAACATTAAAAATTGAAATAATTCCAATATATATTCTCTAAAACCTGTTACGTTTGAACACTTTCACTGACATATGTACATTTCAGCTATTCATGAAATGCTATTCCTAAATTTAGAAATGAAAATTTGGTATTTGCTCCCATAATCAACCGAGGAAACTCTGAAAGCAACATTTCAGAAATCAATTGGATAAAAATTGAGTTAATAGAACGGTCAATGGTTGAAATGTGCAGACATAATGACAAATAAACTGTTCCGTATTGCGTGTGCATGTTGGTAAATTAGAGGTTTGAACCCTACCTGAAACCGTAATAGGTAAGACCTTGATTAGGGATCAAAATTGGTCGATTATAGATGAAATAAACGTTGGTAAAGCATCGTCCTTCGAATTCAGTGTCATCCTTCGCTATTCTAGACCTCATTATCCTAGACCTTCGCCATCCTAGACCTTGGTCGTTTGAATCTACCTAACATGAATCACGCGTGAGGTATAGTCAAAGGAAGCAATATACTGAACTCGTAAATTGGATAGCACGTGAAGATGGAAGTACGTTCGTAACCTTCTACGAGAAAATAAGATCTCAAATTCGCTATAGCTTCAATCTTAAAGCGTACTTTTTTCTATCAGTGTCGAGGCAATTTTCATGATATTTTTTGTTTGCAGTCGAAGCGAGTAAGCCTCAACTTTTTGCGGTTGACATAAACTTTTGAATTTTGTTATTTTTAAATTAAAATTCTTTCAAATTTTCAACTGACCAGCTCAATTTGTTTGCGAGTTACGTACAATATTCCAAGTCACGTCAAGCGGAAGAGTCAATTTGAAATCTTTTTTTATATAATTTAGTAGAAATATTTTGAAGGCCTTAAGCAAGCAAGGGATATTAACAAAAAAATCTATTGATCCAGAAAGAAGAGTGAACGGAAAGATTGATCAGAAACATTTTTCCTGGTTTGACCTACAAGAGTATCGAGTCGATGGATCGCTCGAGTTTGTTCCAAAGAGTTCATTATATCTCTTCCACCCACGATACCAACCATGAACCCTTAAAAATCCTGAAATTACTCGTGGATGGAATATTCAAGTTTCAACAGGAGATCTGGACCCATGATCGTTATAGGTCAGGAAAAAAGTTTATTTGCTTGCAACAATGCATCAATTTGGTAGCATTACTTTTCTGAAGCACCAATTACAAATATCAGTGAAATTATTCTAGTAAATGAGTCCAAACACGACCTTGTTCGAATCACTTTTAATTACATGTTTAAACACATTATCCACTTACATATTATTAAAAAATGTTCCGAATGAGGTCGTGTTTGTACTCATTGTTTCTTTTTTTCGAGAAAACCTTATCAACCTATTGATGACACTCTCACGAAGATACACTGGAAAATATAAGTGTATAGAAGAAAATATAAATAAAGAAGAAACATATTGTCATATGTATTCATATGATTTTCACAATAAACGAGACTGTAATGGCACCATGAAGTAACCCATTTGCATCATACGAAAAAAATGGAAAATTCGTTCTTCTCGCAAAAATTGTTTTGATTGTATTTAAATGAAAATGTTTCGTAATATGAAATTAAAGAGATATGACGAATGCATCTAAATAAATGAATAACATAATCGTAGTTGTTGTCATAACCTCGTTACTACCTCGTTTGAAAAGTGTACATTCCATTTGGTTAATAAAATAATTCAGGCCAAAAATCTACGAAACTTCTGTATACACCCAACACACAAGAAACCTCCAAAATAAAATTTCTAAAAATACGTCAACGCTAACACATTTAATATGCTCTGACGATGCAAATGGGTTAATAGATTATCGGAGAAATATGTGATTAGGGGTAGGAAGACAATTTTGGTCATTTTGTTTATGCAAGTGCCCCCGTGAGGCGTCAGGAGGACGTCGACGAACGGTTACGCGGGGATCGTCGACACGCGAGGCTTTCTTCGCACGCGATGTTTCGGGTCGCGGCATGCATACAAGAAACGCGTGCAGAAAACGTTGAACGCGTGCAGCACGAACCGCGACACGGAGGATCGTTTACGGACGCGGAGGAGCGCTAGTCTGCAGCCTGCAGCAGAAACGGAGCAACTCTGACGCTATCTTTCTCGATCTCATTCGCGACTTTACGCACTTTTTCTCAATTCTTCGCAGCACGGCGACTAAGGTGAACGCTTGGAGAACGTCCATTCAAGTATGCTGGTGATGGTAGCATTGGTAACTTGTGGGAAACATTTTTTTATGTTACGTGGTGAGGCCTCTGGGGAAATTTACTTTTCAGGTGGAGACGAGTGAACATATTTGGGAATTTTTCTGAAAATGGGTTATGTAAATTATACATTGAAATTATATAAAATATTTAAATGCGAACCTCCCGAGAGACAGATTTTAAATGGATTTTTGTTTGGTCTATTTGAATACACGCAAATCAAAGCTATTTTGATCTATGAATCGATTTTGATATAGGAATATGCTGTATCGTATTTCATAGTTTCACCTTTTCTAAAGATGTCTTTAATTTTGCTTAAAATTATTTTGTAATTATCGTACTGAAACCTTGTGAGTCTAAAACGTTTCATTCGATTGAAATATTTGAGATGAATTGTTGAGAAACTTGTTTATTCCCAAACATCGGCTAACATTATTTTTTTCAATTCTAAATATGACAAAAAAGATCCACGCCTCCATGAGACTAGAAAACTTTAGTACCTTCTCACAAGGATGCTTTTATTTTCTACATAGATTAATACTTTTTTATGAAAACTGATAAAAATATTGTTCAAAGAGTGCACTTTTAATATCCATAGAAAACATTTATATTAAATATCTACTATTGTTATAAAAAAAATTCCCAAATATCAACATTCCTATTAGCTTCAATTTCTTACTTTCCAACGTAATCCTCAAATACTTAATCTTTATTTTTATATCCATAAAAAAAATTGTCATATATATCATAGTTTAATGATTTCTTTTTATACTATACTACAAATAATTTAAAACTGGTGTAACATGGACGTTGCAAGTAAGAACAATTAAACAAATATTTTCGTTACGAAAATGATCGTGTTTTATTTGTACAAAAACGATCACGTTTATCTGTACATACATAAAAATTCCTCATTTTAATCTCAAATGACTTACTTTCCATTTATTGTTAGATAAATCTTCACATTAGAAAAAATTCAATGAATACTGCACACTATTAACAAATATTACAACTATAAAAATTCGAGATAAAAATGTATACCTTATAATACAAGTAACATTAATTAAACTCTAAATATTAAACACGTGAAAAACAATTCGCTATCTCCCAAGAAAAAGATTCAAGAGCCCGAAGATGTTAACCCAACAAGCACCTACCACAGAGTACCATAACATTAGAGTAAATGAAAAGTAAAATCATATAAAATCATCGCAAGGCCACGAAAGGGGATACCTTCATCTCGTATCCCCCATGCAAGTTACCAACAAACCACCGCACCACCTATCAAGAGTACAACTTCCTCTGTTCCATCACTTTCATTTTTCCTGACCCTCCCTGTGCATTGATCTCTACTACAATATCACCGTGCTGCGAGTAGCGCGACGCCGATCGAATGATCGCGAAGGACCCAACGCCGCTACCAATTAATCGCCGCGGTGGTCCTCTTCCATCATAGCTGGAACTGATCGTGCGTGAGAACGGAGAAAGTGCGCGGGCTAACGAGATCTTGAGATAATCTCACGTGATCGCCGTGTATCTATTGGCCCGCGGATCGTGACGGTGTCCCGTACGATCCCGACGGGATCACCCGGCGAACGGTGGAAGTTCTGAAAGCCACTGGCCACTGGTTCACACCTTCTCTCCGGACGTCTTCCTCTCCTTTCACTCGGCCAGTCTCCTTCGAACCACGGTAACCTTTTCTCCCGTCGATCACTGGCCCGACCGATCTCACAGAGATACCAGAAACACGCGTGTCACCGATATCCTGGGACCCGGTAGCACGATTCGCGATGATACAACCGACGCGATCAGGACACCTTCGCAGGACGACGCGGATTTCGACGCTCGAGCACCACGACTACGCGCTGGACCACCCCGAAGTCCACGATTCTCTGATTCCCTTCGCCGTATTCTCCCCTGTACTGTGTATACGCCGACGAACCACCACCCACACTCCCCTGGTCCACCCCCCCTGGCCCCACGGCACGTCTCCACGACCCCTAGCCAGCCCGTTATAGTAGGATGCGGGGAGTTACTGGGGTGGGATCAATATGAGGTTGAGCGAACGCGGGAAATTCGCGCGCAGGTCCTTCTCCACCCTCCGCCAGCGATACCACCTACCCCTAACCAAGCCGCCTGTCCTCTCTGCCCACACCCTCTCCCTCTCCTCGTCGCTCTAGTCAGCCTACGCGCAAAACCCTCTACCTATCCTCTTCCCTGTCTGTATTTTCTCCGACTATTTTTGTTTTTTTTTCATCTTTACCGATTGTTACTCGACACTAGCGAAGTATTGCTGTCGAAATTCGTTACTCCCCGCGGTCCCATTTTGTTGCATTTTGGAGGATTCTCGGGGTGCTCTCGCGTGTCGAAAAATTGCTACGAAAATTGGTAACCAAATTCCGTTCGCGAGAGGTGGGAGTATGTTCGCGATTGTTTAGTTCCGTACGTCAGGAGATGTTTGTGGGAGTAGCGTGAATTTTGGTAAATTGAAGTTGTGATTAAAGAGGTATTGGTTATAGGATACTGTGTGCTTTAATGGGTGCATGTGTGGCGTATGGTGGAATTTGTTTGATTGTGTATGTCTGGTGTTGCTTGTAGGAGCTTCGTGAAAATCGCTAAATTGAATTTATGATTGAATTTATGATTATGTATATATGTTTTAATATGTGTACGTTTGGCCTGATTTAGCGTATTCGCGGGAGTTGTTTGGTAGATCACTATGAAATTTGATATAGCGTGCGCGTCTGGATGTGTCTGTTCCCTTTTGTTCAATTTTATACTTTATTATTAGTAGTTTATCAAAATATCAGGTATTTTCAGAGAATTCTGTTTGACATAGTACTCTCATATTTGTTGTAATTACATTTATGGAATGGAAGAAGAATGGAATACGAAATCCTATGTGCGTGTATGTGTATATGTATCTATGTTGGCCTGTGTTTGTTGCACATCTCAGCAACGATTTGTCTAAAACTCAAAAAATCTGTTACCATTAAATTTTCTAAAAAAAATTTAACACAGAAGTGGAAAAATATCGACATATATAAAGGGTCATATTTTCTTCCATAACTCTGTAGATTACCCTTAACCCTCTATGGACCAACTTATTGTTTCTGGAGACAATTTGTAAGACATTTATTTTGACATTTCAGATTAATGTCAACACGTCACCTTGCGAGAAAACTAAAATTATTTGATAAAATATCAATCAGTTAGCATGGAATCTGAAGGTTACACGAGTCCATAGAGGGTTAAAAGAAGGAGTTTTAATTAGTTCTATCGTTTTAAGACCATGAAAATGTTGTGTATTCTAAATAAATGCCAAGAAAATGTTTGTAATAATGCTGGCATTTTTTAAGAGTTCTTTTCTCCACGATCCAGGACGTCTTTTTCTCTCCCACGACGGCTGGCACCACGTCGCGGTTTCTCTTCCTTCCCAACCCCACCCCCGCGAGAGACCTCGCAGCTGCCTCGCTTCCAACCCTCGCCTGAACATCCACGCGTCTCCAACTGCTCGTCGACTTACATCTCTGTCCGTTTTCTACTCTCCAGTGAAGACTCTCCCCGTGCGTGTAGGGGATGCTTCTTTTTCGACGATTCTTGGCCCCCCTCCCGGGAGAGGCTTGCAGGAAAATTGCGTTATCAAAGCGTTCCGTCGGCCCGACGACGTAAGAGGGACGTCTCGGACGAATGATTTCGGCGATATTGATTTCTCGGCGGCCCTCGACGTCGACTCGTTTTTCTTATTTCTCCAGGAGTTTTCGGCTGCTTTTGTCCGGCAAACTTTGCTCGCTTTCCGAAACAAACGGGAAAGAGTATCGTTCGTCGGATGAGACGAAGGATCTCGATTAGCGGCAGTGTTTCCCAAAGTGGGGAACGCGGAAGAAAATTTGTTCCTTTGTTATCATTTTGGTGGAAAGGATAAAGACCTTTTGGTACAACATAAAAATTCGTTCTGCCTGCTTTCTTAAAGTCGTGTACGATTTGCTTTTTCGTATAATTATGATTTTTATTGAATTTAATTGGACTAGATTATAAATATGTGCCGAATGAAGATGGAACGACTTTAAAATAACTTTAGAAATTTTCTTCATTAATTAACTTATTTAACTAGATATTTTTGGAATATTAAGGAATTTAAGAATGAAAAGAATTGATTTTTCATTTTTGTATGAACTCTGAATAAAATTTTCTTTTACATTTTTTCCCATCTTCACTTCAGACATACACCCTGGTTCGATTAACAAATTAAATTCTGTATTGTGAAGATGGATTTTACATGTGAAACTGAAGAAAATACTGTCTAGTAGAAAGATACGAAATTGTAGTAAACCAAAGTGGACGATACGTTTAATTAATCGTTGACAGAAGCTTTTGTTAATTAACCGAAAACTGTATGCTTGCGAGATGACCTATGACAACCTATGACCTGACCTTTTGTTGATGTTAAATATTAATAATTATGATAAATACCTGTGATGAGATATTTCTTTGAAAATTAACTGTGGATTCGTTTGTGTTGAGCGACTTACCTGAAAGAAAAAAGAAAAATAGAGTTAGTAACAAAATACAAGAATTTTGGATTCGATTAAGACAAAAGTAGAGAATCCCTTTGAAAAGTACATAGTTTTTCAATGTGATTCTTTGTAAATATTAAATTATCAAGCAACGCTTGCGTTGAGTTTGACAAACAATGGTAGACGTATAAGACAAAACAGTCGTCATAAATTCAACGTTTTATTCAGATTTTAAACATAATTAATACGTACTCTCGGGTACACGAGATCGAGGTTAAAGGGAAGAGTCCTTTCCTCGCCATCATGAGCGACCCGAGTCAATTAAATTCGAAAGAGTTGCAATTAAATAAAGGAAACGTATATTGACAACCCTCTGGCATTAAGAGTGAACTACGAACTTTACGACTCAACGAGACCACCAACGTGTTTTCTGTCTGAAGTAGTTCTGTACTCAGGAACGTTCAAACGAAGGTAAATTAGATTTACTCCATTACCACCCACGCGGTTATGGAAGTCATTCCTTGAAAATCCTCATTGAATATCACGGCAGTAAAATTCCAAGTCAAACTGTACATGGCGAGTTATTCTGATACTAATGGTTTGCTAACTCTGGCGATGATTTCGACGGTTTATCGAAAGTCAGTCGAACTTACCGAGTGGAATTTAAATTTCAAATATTTTTACGAGTCGTATAAGCAATGTCTATTTCAAAAATTAAAGTAGAGATATAAATATTCAAAATGCTTGTCACATAATATTTAAAAGCAAATAATATATGAACACGAAGCATTAAATATCGTAATTAAAAACCACAGGACATTTACAAACAAAAAAATTATTTTGATGGCAGAAACTCAATGATTAATCATTTGCACCTAATATTTAAAATGTATACAATTATACACCCTCTCCCAAAATCATTCTTTCCAAACTTTAAGAATTCTAAACAACAAAATTATATATACACTGAAATGAATAATTATAATTAATTTCCTATTGAAATATGCTTAAGAAATGCATTCTGTGTATAGACCAAGTAACTTACATATCTATTAAAAGTATATTAACATAATCAACTTTTAACCGGTAAGTTTCTACCATGGGGGAGGTGATAGATGGAAGAGGCTGACAAAAATTCGTGCAAGTTTAAACGGTGATCCTTTCAGGTACACTTTTGATAATCACTCCCTCGCCTAATGTTCCTCAACCGGGGACCTTCTTTCGTGGCAGTTCCCTCGGAGAATAAATGAGCCCTTCCGGACCCGCGAACGATGTCGGCGACGATGAGATTCGAGTGGCGAATTGGAATTCAGCCAGAAGAACGTAAATGAATGACGTCACCTCGGTGGGCTGAGCCACTACCGCCACGACCCTCGTAATTATTATAGCAAACAAGACTAGGGCGAGCATGGTCGAAGCCCGTGGAATACCACCGCCACAGATGAATTTACAATGCCTGCCATCCTGTAATCGATGCGATAGATAAACAGGTTGCGAGTGAGCATCTGCTGCCAGACTGATTGTCGCAACTAGCGAATCGGATGGAAATAAATCTCCTAAACGTTAGAATGGTGTGATCCATAGTTTAGTCCCAGCTATGGTATTTAAATAGTACTGTATTCTATTAATATAAAATTAAAAGACCTGTATGTTTGTGATTACCTCGTAACGCCTCCTATTTATATCCAATTGAGGTGTAATTTTGTTTGGGGGACTCTTAATAATCTATTGAGAAGCATAATCTATTTAATTAATATGAACATTAATTTTCAAAAAATAAAACACTAGTGAATATCTCTATTAATATAAAATATAACAGATCTGGGTGTTTGTAATTTTTTTATAACTCCTGCTATTTCTGTCAAATCCAGATGAAATTTTGTTCAGTTGTCCTGCATGTTCTATTTCAAAATATAAACTATTTAATTTGTAGAAGTATTAATTATAAAGCAGGCTATAGCCCTTTAAATTAATTTTAAGAGTTCCCAATAGAACACCTTCTGAATTATGCAACCCCTGTGTTATGGAGTTCAAATGTCATAGAAAATTAAAAATCCTAGCTTCGTTTTACCTGTGCCTGAGTAAAAACCTCCATAAAATTTAGGTAAAGCCTCAATCTGTCAAATAAAAAGCTTAACTGGAAGCGAGGCACCATTGCGTCATAGTTGACTAAGGAATATTCTAACGAATTTGAATATCATATAATACAAATCTCGGGACACGACATTTTTTCGTTGGCATTCGATACACACTTCATCGAGTACTTCACGTAGAATAAAATCGCGTGGCCGTCTGGGGTTTAACAAGTGTCGTTCGTCGTACGTGAGTGAGAAATGGGCCGCGTGTGTGTTTTATGCGCGGATGCCACGAAGCGAGTGAAGTTTTACGATTCCCGTTTCATCGATCACCGTACGACCGAAATAATTGCGCGACGCTAAACTGCGCGTGAGCAGTCGCTAAATTGCGGACTTAGTTAGCAAGTTATTGTCCCGTCGTAAACGTGGCGACTAAACGCAAACCCTAAAGATTTAATCTACCGTTTACAAGAGAATAGAAAATATTTATAGTTCCATCTAGGAGAGCAACGATGACCTCACAATTTTAGGGTGACATTTACAAGTCTAAATTTGTCCCGAGGTCTTCTTTCATACAACTATAAATAATGGGTTATACTTGGATGGTTTTAGCAAATCGCACACCTTGTATATAATTTAAACGTAGGATGTAGGTTATTAAGTAATATTGTAGAAATTTATATTACTAAGAAATACCTAAAAATCATTCGAAATCATTTCAAAGGCGTGAATTTAACGAAAATGTTCAACGAAAACGCCGTTGGATTAACACAAACGTAACGGAGGTTAAATCAAGGGATAAGTGTAAACAATGGGTCCGACACTAATTAAGAATTTGTGACAAAGCGATCCAAATGCAAGACCTGCAGCGAACAGTGTGCAAATACTTGCACGAACACGATCGAACACACGAGGGGACAAACCACACGGTACATTGTGTAATGCAGAGACCAACCCCCGATCTAGGGGATGGCTTAAACTACCGTGCGAGATAGGACCGTTTCCGGGTCAGACCAACTTGGAAATGGCATCGCTTATGCCTCGAACGTCTAATAACCCACTTCGCCGAGGAATCCTGGAAAAAGCACGAGTTCATCTTTGTCGAGTTACCAAAGGCAATTTCTCGTTGATGCATCAGGAGCGCGACTGAAAGTGTAAGAAGAAATCGTTTTGATTAAGCAAAGGGAGGAGGTAATAGATGTAATTGAAGCAG